GGTGCCAGTTGTTATATGAGGCCTTACTTGGGTCTCAGGACCATGGGGCCGACCTGGAACCTGGGTCCACAGAGGTGGTCCTGGAGCTTGGGCCTATGGAAACTAATCCAGGGCTGGGTCTACTGGAATGGACCTAGACCTTGGGTCTTTTGAGCTGGTCTGTGTCCTGAGTGTGCAGGACCATAGGACTACAGTGACCAGCCTGGAGAGTGGGGCTCCAGGGACTGGCCTGACCTATGTGCCTGGTTGCCCACCTGGTGCCTAAAGCTGTGGGTACCAATCTGATGCTGCCTTGGGTCTGAAGCTGTACATGGGGCCAACCTGGCTCTGGACTGGTCTGAAACCTCGTGTGGTTTATAGGCTGTTGCTGCTCTTTGTGGCTTGGCATTGAGCATGCCCAGGGTCTCCATCTACAGAGGTCGGCCTGGAGGCTGTGTGTGTGGGTACCAGCTGATGCCTATGGCTCAGAGGTCTGCCTGGTGCTGGGATTGGTCGAAGCTTCGGGCTTGGGGATCCAGGTAGTGCCAAGAGCTGTCCAGAGCCTAGTGCTTTGGTTCATGGCTACTGGCCTGAAGTCTGGAGCTGTGGTCACCTGGCCAGTGTGGTTTGATCGGACAGGCCTGGCATTGAGGTCTGAAACACAGTCCAGTGCTCATGTTCTCCCCCTTTGTGGAGTAGATCTCTCTCCGTACTAGACTGCCTGAGAACAGGGYGGGCGGGAAGATGCAAGGAAATGTGAAACAGCCCTTCCTGCTCTCTTCATTGAATTTTTTTTCTGTATTTCTGTTCTACACTTGGGTGCTTAATATTTAAGGATTTTCTAAGTATTTTTATTCATGCATTTCTSTTTGGTCATAAAGCATACTGCATAAGATTTCAGCCTTGTAATGTGTACTGAGTCTTATATTTCACCAGTGTCTTTCTCTGTCCTTCTCGGGTTTCTGTAAATATTTTCTCTATGTTTTGGTTTTCAGCAGTTTGGCTGTGATGCTAATGGTTTGATGTTTTTTTTTTTGTTTGTTTTTTTTTTTTAATCTTGATTGCTTAGGGTTGATTGATTCCTGTTTTTCAGTAAGTCAATGGCTCTACATGTATGTAATTTTTAGCATTATCTTTTAAGAAATCTTTTCTTCTTTCATTTTCTTGAGTTTAAAAATGCTTCAGTGAGTTTTATTTTTTTTTAAATTTTAAGTTATATATGGAGATTCCTCTTTCTTTTTTAAAAATTTGTATTAGTTATTGACAGACCTCTATTATTTTATTACTTATATGTGGTGCTGAGAATCGAACCCAGTGCCTCACACATGCTGGGCAAGTGCGCTACCGCTGAGCCACAACTCCAGCTTCCTTCCTTCCTTCCTTCCTTCCTTCCTTCCTTCCTTCCTTCCTTCCTTCCTTCCTTCTTTCTTTCTTTCTTTCTTTCTTTCTTCTTTCTTTCTTTTCCTTACTGGCATAAGAGGGTTCTGTTATTTTTGCAATGTTCTCTTAGATTAGTTCATTTACCTTCAACTTTTTTCTCTCTATACCTCTGAATAGACAGTATAACAATTTTTACTTACTCTGTCTTCTGTAGTCTTCAATTTGCTCTTAAGCTAATTCAGTTAAGTTTTAAATTTTAGTTACTAAAATGTTCTGTTCCGGAATTTCTATTCACCTCTTATAATTTCCACTTCTCTTGTTTAGATGTTCACTTATTGTTACAACATATTTAACTCTAATTATTTTAGCCTGTCTTACTTTTCATTTTTGCACATATTTACAGTATCTGCTGGAAATCTTTGACAAACATAATACCTAGGCCATCCCAGTATCATTTTATRTTGGCTAAAAGATGAGCCTAGTGATTTTAGATTATGTATTTAAATTTTTAATAATGTCTCAGGAAAACTTTGGATCATTTTTGAAATCTGCCATTTTTCAGGTACTGATTCTGGCTATTTTTTTCATAGTTGTTTTAATTATTGTCTGAGCATTCACAATTGTAAGTTTATTTTTTATTTCTTATTACCGTTAATTGATATGAATCCTAAAAAATTTCTTTGCTCAATATTACTTCAGTAGAACTCAGACTATCTGAATCAGTTGAGGCTCAATTTCAGGCTTTGTTAGGATGGAGAGAGACAGTTGTTAGTTTGCTATATAACCTTTGCTCTTTTATTTTTACTTAAAAATGTTTACAGTTAACATTTATTTTGGGCGCTGGGGTTGTGGCTGAGCGGTAGAGCACTGGCCTCACATGTGCAAGACCTTGGGTCCGATCCTCAGCACCACATAAAAATAAATATGTGAAATAAAGGTATTGTGTCCAACTACAACTAAAAAATAAATTTAAAAAAAATTTATCTTTATTTTTTAAAAAAATTTATTAGTTCTTCTTAGTTATATATGGCAGTAGAAATCCTTTTTGATACAATTACACAAGCACAGAATATGGAATATATCTTATTCTAATTAAGACCCCATTCTTATGGGGTTCTATTGTGAACTGAGCTGTTATAACCATTGATGTGGTTATGTCAATCCTAAAATGTAACTTTCCTGTTTTGTTAGTTTGACACCCAGTTTTTACCAGATGGGTCACTATTCCAGCAATATCCTGTACTTTCCGCACTATTTTCACATTTACCTTTCTTTTCTGTTCTCAACCCCAAAGCAGATGCTCTCTGTAGATGTCACATTTTCTCATCCCTTAGATGTGCAACCGCAGGATTCACCTAATAAGTGGGATCCGTCTCTGTATTTCTTCCTTTTCTCAAGATGCCAGCTCTTAGGTGTCATGAGAAGTGGTATTTTCCTCCCGTGCCCAGTGTGACTGCCACGATTTCCCAAATGCCCATTAGCCTGMAATCAGAAAATCTTCCCAGGCATCTGGGAGAGTTGTAGAGCTTGCTTCGTGAATTTGGTCTCTTATCTTTAAGTTGTATATTGTTCAAAGCATGAAAACTGTCAATTCCTGTTATTTTATTGAATTATATTATTGCTGTGGTGTTATGGTTTGGAAGTGAGGTGTCTCCCCAAAGCTCATGTGTGAGATGATGCTTAGAGGTGAAAATGGGAGCTGGGGATGTGGCTCAAGCGGTAGCGCACTCCCCTGGCATGGGTGCGGCCTGGGTTCAATCCTCAGCACCACATATAAACAAAGATGTTATGTCCGCCGAAAACTAAAAAATAAATATTTTTTAAAAAAGAGGTGAATATGGCTTAGAGGTGAAGTGCCTGTGTTATGAAAGCCTTAACACAATCAGCGTGTTGATGTCTGATAGGGATTAACTGAGTGGTAACTGTAGGCTGGATGTGGCTGGAGGAGGTGGGCCCCTGGGCGCATGCCAATGGCGTAGACATTTGGTGAGCTGAGTTGAGTCTCCCTCTACTTCCTGATCATCATGTGAGCACTTCTTTCTACCACATTCTTCTGCCACCATGTTCCACCTCCCCTCAGCTCCAAAGAATGGAGCTGGCTGTTTATGGACTGAGACCTCCGAAACTGTGAGCCCCCAAGTAAAGTTTTCCTCTTTAAAATTGTTCTGGTCAGACCTTTAAGTCACAGCAGCTAAAAAACTGACTAAAACAGTGGATATGCTACTCTTCTATCGCCAGGAAAAAAAAAAAAAAGACAGTAGCTGCATTTTAAATATTGACTTTATACATTTTATTTCTATAGGCAATACTTACTGTTATATAGAGTAGGTTTTATTGTAAAACCTAAATTATTTTCTCTTGATCAACAGAACTCTTTCTCAGGGTACAAGCTTGCCAAGCTTAGATGGATTTAGTGTAAGGGGGGGTCCGGCGGAGCATTGGAGGGAGAGACCACACAAGAGACTTACTCCATGCAATTGGCAAAAGGGGATTTATTGGGGATCCATTCCAGCGCGCTGGAGCTCCATGCGTACTCAATAAGGGAGAGCAGCCCAGAGCCCCGAGCAGAGGTTCAAACAGAGCTTAAGTACACTTTTTGGGGAGGACGGGAGGCTTTGCATACATCAGAACAAATCATCATGAGGCGCAGGGAAATTGAACAACAACTCTGAGACGTGATTGGCACATTCATTGGTGGGAACAGATCGGGCGGGGGTGATTGGTCATTCGTAAGCGGGTTACAYATTCAAACTGATTGGTCYGGGCCCTGTGAGGAACTGCACAGGGCCCTAGGCTAAATGGCCAGTAGGGTGTTGTCTTAACTATCTCAGGAATCTGGGTGTAACAGAGGAACTTAATAATACCTAATCTTTTACATTCAAGCTTTCCAGCTTAGAAACTTTACCCTTTCATTAGGAATAACCCTGAAAATCACAATCAGAATGCCGACCCCAAACCTGTGCTCCACCTCGCATGCCTCACAGCACACAAATCAACCACACCAAAGCAGTGCACTATTGCATTAAAGAGAACATATCTGGCAGTTTGTGGGAAAGATATCTTTTTTTTTTTTAGAGGAGAAAAAGTTTATTTGGGGCTCATCGTTTCACCTGTCTCAGTCCATGGCTGGACAACTCCATTGTTCAGGGCCTGAGATGAACAGAACTTCATGGCAGAAGAGCTTGGTAAAGGAAGGCTATTCCACTTATGGCATCCAGGAAGAAGCCAGGGACAAATATACTCCAAGGTCATATTCCCAGTGACCTACTTCTTCCAGCCACACCTAYGATTACAAACCAGTAGTCCATTCAGCTATCAATGGATTAATTCAGCAAATGGATTAATCCAGTGATTATGTAAAAACCCTAATCATGACCTAAAATCCTTCCTCTGAACCTTGTTGTATTGAGGATCATACTCACAAAGCATGAGGTTTTTATTTGGGGGCGGGGGTACTCTTAGATTGAAACTATAATATCCTTTTAAAGATTTTTTATTTGAATTTTTACATTATGAATATTATAAAAGCAAAAAGTAGTTTTAGAGAAAGGAAAATAATAAGAAAGTTTTATAAAAAGAAAATAACAATTCAAACGTAAAACTCTTAATATGGTTGGGTATTGCCCCTGATGCTATTGTTTACATGAAACTCTCAACTTTAATCGTATCACTGTTGAAGACACTGAATTGATTTATAGGGAAGTTCTGTACTTCAAGTTCCAGGCTTAAATTAGCATTGCTTTCTCTCTTCTTGTTCTTTGCGCTCTTGATGACCTTGAAGAGAGGTAAAGAAGACACAGTGAGATCCCAGCCATTGAGGAAAACCCCTGCATTTCTGTGGCCCCGTCAATGTCTGTTCATCTCATGGGCCACACCAGTCCCTTCCCTTCTCTCAAAGGCTGTTAATTTTTGCTCACTTTTCTTCTTTATGGTATTATTCAATATTAAGTGAGTCCTTTCCCGTCATCTGGAGCCTCCTGACCATCGTGGGTGTACTTGAACAGGACAGGAGTTCCTCAAAAGTGGTGAAGGGRAACTATAAGTAAAGAGGAAGAGCTACTCTAATCAGTGTGCAGCACGGATTGGATCCGAAAAGGGGAAGGAGGCGACCTAAAGAATTGTTTCCTCAGAGCTCTCCTCTGATTAGCAGGTAGAGGTAGAATACATGGGTTCTTGCATCAAGGCATGTCTCTGTGTCACAATCCATCAATATTTCTACTTGGACTGTTTATATGTGAGTTTAGCTCTCATTAGTTTTATCAAGAATCTCCTGGTGGACCCTTGTGTGGGTTGGTATGTGGGAATGTGTGTGTTTGGGTCTGAGACAGACAGCATGATACCATGTGGAACCAACCAGGTATTTTGCCAAGGGCCAGGACACGCATTTCACTAAAAGATGGCACCTTTTGCTTTAAGATGAAGTTATTCCAAATCCCTGGGGATCCCTTGGTCATCTGTGCCTGGCATGAGCTATGTTGACCTTCTTCCTCTTTCAACTTGTTTTTATTGCCTATTTTTCTATTTTCCATTTCACCTTTGACCTCCCTCTCATTGGTAGTCTATCCTTTATCTCCAGCCACTCCTGTCTTTCTTATGACTCTTTCTTCACTGTTTGATAGTCTCTTTCATCTCGCCTAAGAATCTTGCTTCTGGAACCAGACAGCCTTGGCTGGATCTCAGTTCCTCCATTTATAGGCTATGTCAGAGCATGTTACAGTCTCTGAGTGTCAGTATCTACATCCATGAAATGGGTACAATTACTATAGCTCTATCATGGTTTCAAATCTCAGCACATAATGAGTATTCAGCAGGTATTTTCTATTAATATAAATGCAATGTTATTAAACTATTATTTATTTTTTGATATTATTATCCAAAGGAAGGATTTTAGCATGTCTCTCTAAACTTAAAAATATGTACATCTCTAGCACAAAATTACTGTTTGGTTCTACAGATGTACATCCAGATCTACAGATCTCCATATTGATCAATGGATATTTCTTGGCTATCATATAAGACAGCTCAAATCAATGTGCTTTCATTTCCCAGCACATGCTTTCCCCCTGCATTCTCCATGTTAGTGAATTGCAGAACCATTTAACATTATCTTGGAATCAGGCTTGAATGTTCCTTGAATCTTTTCTTTCTCACCATCAGCACTTAGTCACAAATTCATCATCTTCCTGCAAAAGACACTTTTTCCCTTCATGAGTTCCAAACTTATTTGACTTTCCCTTTGTCCTGAGCAGTTTATAAATCATTGCCTTGAGCTATGTGAAACCCTGGATGACAAAGGGCTGTTTCTGGGATCCACGTGGTTACCAGGGGAATGCCCAGATTTGCAAGASGACTTCCTCTGTTGACAGGGGAAATTCTGTGCTTGTCATTGAATTCACTAAATCAAAAAGTCATGAATGTCTACCAAGTGAATATCTCCCAAAGTAACAAGTGAATCCTCACACACCATCAGGGTGCCCTGGGACCCCCTGTCAGGGTCCACCTGGAATATAGCCTTTGAATAGCTCCTTTGAAATCCCCCTGTTCCTGCTGATGGGCAGCATCACAGCCWCTGGGACAGGAGTCCCCTGTGTTTCTCCTTTACTAGCAAAGCCATAAAACTTTTTTTTTTTTCCTTTTTCTCAAAATCGTGTCCTCATGATTGAATTGGCATCGGGAACAAGGACGGAGCTTTTGGTTACAATACCTGTCTCCAAATCTAGATTCTCTCTCAGGTGTCTTTCTAACATGGTTACCAGATTGCTTTCTTTTTGAGAAAACGTCCAAGTCCTCAGGCTGTTTGGTTTCAGAGCTTCCCATCAGATCTCTATATCTCCATGTGAGAGGGGATAGGAAGAATCCATTCTGAAAATCTTACAAATATGACAGAGGTCCCTTCACCTTCTGATTATAGCCCTATTGCTCTAAGGTTTACTTTTTAAAAGAACATGTTTTGTTTTGTTTTTCTCCTCTCTTCTAACCTCTCCCCTTCCTGTAACAAGATGAGGGAGAAGAGACAGTGTTACCCTTTCTTCCCCTAGTTAACTGACCTKGAACACACCTGCTACAGGAAGGAGGTGCCTGCTGAGGAGCTGCGAAGTGAGTGACTCCCAARTTAACAAGTGAATTCTAACGTGCTACTGGGGCGCCCTGGAACCCCCTATCAGAGCACA